GTTTCCTATTTGTACTCACTTCTTTCATAGTCATTCCATTCTCGTTCTCTCTTTCACAGTGGTGAGTCTGCTCTCTCTGGTACTGCGCGTGCTCAGGCCTTGTACACCTTCACACTTGACTCTGGTGCTTCTCGCTCCTTCTTTCGCGACAGCGCCACCCTCACGCCGCTCAGTCGGTCGGTTCCAGTCTCTCTGGCAGACCCCTCTTGGGGTCCAGTCTGTGCGATCTCTTCCACTGTCCTCCCTTGTCCTGCTGTCCTGTCTGGCACACTGTCGGGTCTTCACCTCCCCTCGTTCTCTACGAACTTGGTGGCGGGTTCTGCGCTCCAGGACGCGGGTGTTCACCACTTCACCCCTGCCTACGAGCGTGTGACACACTGCATGTGTGCTCAGACGGGTCGTCACCTGGCTACCTTCACTCGGCAGCCGGGGTCGGGCCTGTACACACTGACCACTGAGTCACCTCAGGTAGCTGCGTCTGCGTCTGCGTCAGGTCAGTTGTCGGCCCCCTGCTCGTGTCGCGCCTTGTCGCACCAGACCCTTCTTTGGCACCACCGCCTTGGTCACCCCTCGGTGCAGCGCCCTCGCAGCATGCACCGCCGTGTCCTTGTCTCTGGTCTTCCCAGGGTTCTCCCTCCCCTACCACCCTTGCCTGCTCCTCCCTGTCTTCCCTGTGTCGAAGGGTGGCAGCGCGCCGCTCCTCACTCCTCCTCGTTCCCTCCTACAGAGGCTCCCCTGCAGACTCTCCACATGGACGTGTGGGGCCCTGCCCGCGTCCGTGGACAGGACCACGAGCGGTACTTCCTGCTGGTCGTCGACGACTACATGTGTTACACCACGGTCTTCCCCTTGCGCACCAAGGGTGAGGTCCTTGATGTTTTGATCCCCTCGATCCGCGCTGCTTGTCTCCAGCTCCGCGAGCGGTTCGAGACGGAGTTTCCCGTCCTGCGTCTGCACTCTGACAGCGGTGGGGAGTTTTCCTCGGACCTCTTGGCAGCCTTCTGTGCGGAGCACAACATCCGCCATTCGTTCATGCTTCCGACCTCTCCGCAGCACAATGAGGTTGCTGAGCGCCGCATTGGCTTAGTCATGGAGGTCGCTCGTACCTCCATGATCCATGCGGCTGCCCCCCATTTTCTGTGGCCGTTTGCAGTCCGGTATGACGCGCATCAGCTCAACCTCTGGCCCCGTGTCTCCTTGCCGGAGACCTCGCCCACACGGCTGTGGACGGGGAAGGTTGGCGATGCGTCGCGTTTCCGGGTCTGGGGTGCTCGTGCCTTAGTCCGCGATACCACCGCGGACAAGCTCTCCGCCCGCGCTGTTCCCTGTGTCTTCCTTGGCTTTGTCCCTGACGCGCTTGGTTGGCAGTTTTACCACCCCACCTCGCGCCGTCTCTTCCCCTCTCAGGACGTCACGTTCGACGAGCCGGTTCCCTTTTACTGTCTCTTCCCCTACCGCACTGCCCCTCTCCCCTCCCCGCCGCTCTTCCTCGCTCCAGGTGCTCCCCAGGTAGACCCCCTCTCCCGGTCCTGCTCCTTCAGGTGTGTCTCAGGTAGACCCTCCTCCCTTGACTGCGTCGGTTGAGGTCACTGGTGACTCAAGTCCTGCTGAGGGTGGTCCTGCTCGGGGTGCTGCTTCTGGGGGTGCTGAGCCTGGGGGTGCGGAGCCTGGGGGTGCGGAGCCAGGGGGTGCTGAGCCTGGAGGTGCGGAACCTGGGGGTGCTGAGCCTGGAGGTGCGGAGCCTGGGGGTGCGGAGTCTGGAGCTGCTGAGGGTGCAGGAGCTGGGGGTTCTGGAGCTGCTGCGGGTGCTAGCGGTGGAGGTTCTGGAGCTGCTGCGGGTGCTGGCGCAGGAGGTTCTGGAGCTGCTGCGGGTGCTGGCGCTGGAGGTTCTGGAGCTGCTGCGGGTGCTGGCGCTGGAGGTTCTGGAGCTGCTGCGGGTGCTGGCGCTGGAGGTTGTGGAGCTGCTGCGGGTGTTGGCGCTGAGGGTTCTGAGTCTGCTGTTGCGCGGTCTTCCTGGAGTAGCCGCCTTCGTCCGCGTGTGCCTCTCATCTCACAGCAGCTGCACGACTGGTACGGTCGCCGTCAGGGTCGCGCTTCTGGAGCTCGGGGCTCTGCCGCTGGAGGTGTTTCTACTGTCGTCACTGGAGCTGGGAGTGGTGCTGGTCCCGGAGGTGCTCGTACTGGAGGTACTGGAGCTGCTAGGGTTGGAGGTGCTGCTGAGCCTGAGGGTGCTGCTGCTGGAGACCCTGGGTCTCGGGGTGCTGCTACTGGAGACACTGAGGCTGGAGATCCTGGGACTGGATGTGCTCGTTCTGGGGGTGTTGCTGCTGGTGGAGCTGGTCCTCCGTCCGTCGGGGGTGAGTGTCCTCTAGGCACGGACGTCCTTGACGACAGGCAGAAGGACCTTGAGTGTCTTGCAGCTGCTGCGCCTCACCTCGTGTCCATGCTGCTTGCCCCTGAGGGAGACCCGGATGCTCCAGACATCCCGACCCCGCGCTCTTACGCTGAGGCGATCGCGGGTGAGTACTCCTCTCAGTGGCAGACAGCCATGGACGCAGAGATGGCATCCTGGAAGTCCACAGGCACTTACGTTGACGAGGTTCCCCCTCCTGGGGCGAACATCGTCAGTGGCATGTGGATTTTCAGGGTGAAGCGGCCGCAAGGTTCTCCGCCTGTCTTCAAGGCTCGTTACGTTGCTCGAGGTTTCAGACAGCGAGAGGGAGTTGAATTCTTTGAGACCTTCTCCCCCACCCCGAAGATGACCACTCTTCGGGTGCTGCTGCACGTTGCCGCTCAGCGTGACTACGAGCTCCACTCTCTTGACTTCAGCACAACTTTCTTACAGGGCAGCCTGCACAAGGAGACCTGGCTGCGCCGCCCTCGTGGCTTCACTGGGTCGTTCCCTCCTGGTACCCAGTGGAGCCTCCGGCGGCCAGTCTACGGTCTCCACCAGGCACCACGTGAGTGGCACGGCACACTGAGGACTACACTTGCGGCTCTTGGGTTTGCTCCGTCGACTGCTGACCCGTCATTGTTTTTGCGCAACGACACGTCGCTGTCGCCGTTCTACATCCTCGTGTACGTCGACGACTTGGTCTTTGCCACTGCTGACACTAAGGCTCTCGCCCTGGTGAAGTCGGAGCTGCAGAAGAGACACACGTGCACAGACCTGGATGAACTGCGCAGCTACCTTGGGTTGCAGATCACCCGGGATAGAGCACGCCGCACCATCACATTGACTCAGTCACACATGTTGCAGCAGGTCCTTCAGCGCTTCGGCTTCACCTGGTCCTCGCCACAGCACACTCCTCTGGCTACAGGCCACTCGCTCTCAGCTCCACCTTCGGATGAGTCCGTAGAGCCGAGTGGCCCGTATCCAGAGCTAATGGGCTGCCTCATGTACCTAATGACCTGCACTCGACCTGACCTTGCGTACCCTCTTGACCTTCTGGCTCGCTACGTGGCTCCTGGTAGGCAAAGACTAGAGCACATGGCGGCTGCTAAGAGGGTGTTGCGCTACTTGTGCAGTACATCGGGCATGGGGCTCGTGCTTGGAGGGCGGAGCCCAGTTGTCCTCACTGGGCACTCGGACGCTTCTTGGGTTGACGACCTGGCTACGCAGCGGTCGTCACAGGGTTACACCTTCAGCCTTGGCTCTGGTTCAGTTTCTTGGCGTTCTACACGCTCGTCTTCTGTTCTCAGCTCCAGTTGTGAGGCTGAGATCTACGCCACAGCCATGGCTGCACAGGAGTTACGCTGACTCACCTACCTGCTGACCGACTTGGGAGAGCGGCCTCGTTCTCCTCCAGTGCTGTACGTTGGCAACAAGGCCGCCATTGCCTTGTGTCAGGAGCACAAAACGAAGCACATCGCTCTGCGTTACTTCCTTGCTCGAGAGTTGCAGCAGCGTGGTCAGCTTCGTCTCGCTCACGTGGCCACTCGGGCCAATACTGCTGATATATTCACCAAGGCACTTCCGTCTGGTGATCATCAGCGTTTCTGCACTTTGTTAGGCCTTGTGCCCGCATTTCCTCACTTGCTGTAGACTTTGCTTGTACTGTGATATATATATATATATACCTGCATGCATGCTCTGCTAGGTAGAGATCACTATGCTGTTATTGTTGCATATATACCTCTGCATGTGAACTGGCCTTGTGGCCCTCTTCTTGTGCTCAGTGTGTGTGGTGACGTTGTGATCCACCCTGAGCTTACTTTGCTTCTCTTGACTGGTCTTGTGACCCCTTGTTCTCCCCCACTTTGCCTATGGGGGTGTGTCAAACGTTATATCTACTATACATGTTTAGGCTGTAGTGGGGTAGCCAATATGGGGTACAGCCCGCTTTAGGGTTTCATATTTGTACCCAACTCTTCCATAGTTCAATCATTCATGCTGCTAGATTCTAACAAGTTACTGGTACAGTCCTATTGCAACCGTGCAATATATTGACATTGACAAAGCATAGACATTGTCTGACTGGTTTCAGTTTTGACAAAGGCGATACAATATCCATACTATGGTGGAGTATATCCAAAGAGTGACCGCATTATATGGGGAATTACAATACAGCAATCATAACAAATACAACAAATAACAATTGTGAATCAAGCCATAACAAAAGGCACGGTACCGTATTATCAAGCGGGATTCCTCCAAGACTAAGAAACACTTGAGACTCCGCCCGCTTATCTGCAGCTTATTCAGTGTCAGCACCGCCAATGCCGAGAGGCTGAGAGCAGATAAGCTCTATAATACACGTGCAGGTACGGCATACTTTTTCACGTATGCACTTCAATCCATCACGATGCATGAGTTGCACTGATATGCTCCTTCAATGGTGTCTTGATCCCTTTTCAGACCTCTCAAAAGCCGTGTGTGTATTTTACTCCTCCGCCATGATGCACGAGTTGCAGGGGTAAGATCCTTCGACGAGATGGATGAATCTTGTCGCTGTTGCCGGGGGTGCATCCAGCGATCCACACCTTCTTACGACTGCACTTCACTCCTCCGCCATGATGCACGAGTTGCAGGGGTATGCTCCTTCGATGAGATCAATCTCGTCGGTGTTGCCGGGGCGCATCCAACGGCTCACAGCCTTGTACATTGGCTGTAGTCGGGTGGATAGGGAAAAAGCAAAAAAGGGGGAATTCGGTCAACATCCAAGCACATGCACACCCATGCATGCTCGCACCAAAACACACACATGCGTATGTCAGCACGTAGCATAGGTCTCAGATGGGTACGTACCACTCCTTTTCCCGAGCGCATCATCCGCGGGGCGTCAGAGTGGATCGAGGAAACATGATCGCGTTACACAAAATCCTGCAGTTAACGCACCACCCTGCTGCTACCTACACACAACCCCCACTGTTGTTGCACACTCCTACTATCTACTCACCACTCCCTTTGCCGTGCGCATCATCCACGGGACGTCTGAGTGGATGGAGCCGTGCTGTTTGGAGATGCATGTGGTACTGTGCAAGGAAAGAGAAGCCCACTGTTGGTGCAGAACTCACCACCACTTTTGGTACGTACCACGCCCTTTGCCGTGCGCATCATCCAGGGGACGTCCGAGTGGATGGAGCCGTGCTGGAAGCAGGAGAAGAGGAAGACGGCGTTGGCAGGCGAGGAGTGGGCGAGAGGCGCCACTGCGTTCGCCACTGCCTTGCGGTAGTCTGAAACGCAGGAGTGGGGACCGGTGAAGCAAGGTGAGGCAAGGTGGGGAGAGGTGAGGCAGGGTGAGGAAAGAAAGCTGAGTTACCGCAAGTGGGGTGAGGAAAGAGAGGTAGGAAATAAAGGGGATTGCAAGGTAAGGAAAGAAGGGTAGGGCAAGGTAAAACAAGGAGGGCAGGGAAACATAAGGCATGGATGGAGTGCAAGGCCAGGAGGGTAGAGCTGTGTGAGTGCAAGCAGAAGCTGTGTCAACAACGTATGAAGCTTTACCCTCCTGATGGTGAGATTCTGGAAAAACGGAGATAACAGGGAGGAGGAAAAGGGGAGGAGAAAAGGGAAGGCAGGGAAATTTGAGAGGGCCGGCAGATATGGGTTGATGTGGGATTGCTTGTTCCTTATGACTTTCGTACTCTTCAGTTATGACTTGCTCACATTTTGTCCCTGAATCGCTCACATTCTTATCACATGCATGTCCTCATTTGCTCACATGCATGCCCTGACTTGCTCACTCACATGCATGGTCTGCACTTCAGAAAAGAACGCTGCGATCCTATGGGTGTTGTCGGAATCTGGGCTGCTCATACGCAGAGAGGAAGGGACAGAGACACACACACACGCATGCACAGACATGAGAAACAAAGCAATCCCACAGTATGTAAAAAGAAAAAAGTCAACAAGTCAATGAGCCCTTACAGGACAGGCCCATAATAGTCAATTTTGCAAGGTAACAAGACAATCACAGAGGAGTGAAGAGGGGTGAAGAGGAGTCTTACATATCAAGGAACATCGACGCGTCAGCAAGGCAGCGCACGTGCATGGAGGGAGAGGCGGCTGTGAGAGTGTCCCTCACTCGATCGCAGTGCAGCAGCAGCGCCACTCCCCCTGCTGAAGACCCCGAGACAACCACCTGCCGGGTTGATGGGTGGGAGGACACCGTAGGCACGGGTAAATGTGATTCAGTTGCAAGCAAGGGTATATTTGAGTCATTATTGAGAATCGTGAACAGCAGTGCCGGCATTGCTCCCGTTGAAGAGCCCAACCGCCTGCCCGGTTGATGACGATTGGAAGGAAATCGCAGACAAAGGCGGGGAAGAGATGCAACCTCCCTCACCCTCCCCAACCTCGCACTCTCACACTCCCCACTCTCACACTCCCCACTCTCACACTCCCCACTCTCACACTCCCTCCTCTCACCTTCTTCGCATGGCCAAGCCCCTTCTGCTCCATGAGGTGCTTCACCAGCAGGTCCGCCACTCGCCTTCCGCGCATGTACAGCGGAATGCCCTGGGGGAAAGGGGAAGGAAAGGTGGCGGGGGAAAGGAACAGAATTGATAAAGTTTGAATTTACAGGGGAAATCATTTAAAATTTCTCGACATTACAGGGGAATGTGTTGAGGGAGGGGGGAGGTGGATTCGGGAGGGGGGGAATGAGAAGGAAGAAACAGCACGACGAGAAGCGGAGAGGTGGAGAGGCGGAGACGGGAATGTAAAACGGTCAAGAGGCGAGCAGGCAGAAAGGCAGAGATGTGGAGAGACGGAGCGGCGGAGAGGCGGAGGGGCGGAGGGGCGGAGGGGCGGGTGACTTACGTTGAAGCGAACGGGTTGGTCCTGATGGCCTGAGAAGGAGCCGCCATCGCAGTAGATGAAATAGACGGCGTTCCAGTTGTAGAAATCTGGTGGGGTCAGGGGACAGGGAACAGGGGGAAGGTGTCAGCAAAGCAGGCGAAGAGCAAAGCAGGAGAGAAGAGTATGCCATTCATGCTGCCGTTCTGCACATCAAGTGTGCGGAGCGGTGCGGTGCGGTGCGCTGTGGTGCAGTTCTTACCAGGGTTGACGGTGCGATTGTTACTGAGCATGCCCTGCATGCTGCCGTTCTGCCTATCCAGCATCACCGCCACTGACCGCGCGTGCTTCGTCGACCCCAGGTGCATGCGCGCCCGGTACTCGCAGGCGTGCGGGGATGCGCACCACGCGCCGCCCTGCAATGCCGCGCGTGGAAAGATGGAGGGGGAAGGGGAAGGGGAAGGGAGAAGGGAAAGCAGGGGGAATGGAAGGTAAACCAAGGGAGGGGAAGAATGAACAGCAGAGGGGATGGAGGCCAAGCAAGGACTCTCCTCGGAGGAGAGTAGGAGGCGGAGGGTAGGAGTGCGATTACAACTCAAGGAAAAGAGCAAGTGACGGAGAGTCGTTCGTTAGAGTCACACCTCGAAGAACAGCACCCAGTTGTGCTGTCCCGAGCCGTAGCCTTTCCGATAGTAGAACCCAGGGGCAGATCCGTCCAAGCACACTGCGCCCTCCGCATTCCCTTCTTCCGCAAGAATCAGCTGTAGCGGCGGAATATGCCCTCCCCCCATTACGGAAGCATGGGAGGATTCTTTCACTAGCTCAGCCGCTCTCCTCCGCGGAGAGTCTCCGCTTCCGCCAGCAGCCAGCTTGCGAGGTTGCGCCGCATTCCCGCGCAATCCGCGCGCGCCGCCAGCTGCCGCTGCGACGAGGAGAAGAACCACGAGAACCGCCGCTGGCGGCGCAACTGGCGGGAAGCCCCGGCGCGCCATGACGATGACGGGCGGAAGCGAGATAGATGGGAAGAGGCGGCGGCGGAGAAGGCGCAGACGACGGCTCGGGAAGAGGGGAGGGGGGGCGTAGCTAGCGGGAAACAAAATCAGCGGCGGAGAAGGCGCAGTCAACGGCCGGGGGGAGGGCGATGGCTGGCGGGGGAACAGACTCAGCGCGCTGCGCGGAAAGGCCGCCCTTGTTTCGTGAAGGCGCTACTAGCCTACGGATAATTGCCCTTGGCGGAACGGGTGAGCGGAGAATTCCCTTTCGCGGAGCGGGTAAGCGGAAAATGCTCTTGGCGGAAAATTCTCTTGGTACTACTGCGAGTAATAGAGCCTTTCGACTTGAAAGCAGAACGAGGAACAACAGCAGCTGCAGCAACGAAGGGAGTGGTGAGAAACTGGTCCGGGCGACAGGGTATTTGAGGTGATCTTGATCATACTGGACATCGTAAGCGCGGCGCGGCGGTTCATCGCGGATCGGCGCGGGGGCCTGATAATAGGCGCGAGCACCGATCGCATGATAGGCGCGAGCACTGATCGCATGATAGGCGGGAGCACTGATCGCATGATTCGTGGCGGAACTGTCCCAGGAAGAGGGTTCATCCACTGGTTGGTTTCAGGTAGAAGCACAGCCGCAGAAACTAACCACATGAAGTGAAGTCGCCTAGAAACCAACTGTCGGTCGCGCCGATTGCTTGCGCTACGATCCATTATCTCCCCCCCTCTCCCCGGTTCCCCCCTCCCCCTTCCCCGTTCCCCGCACCCCCATCCTCCGCACTAATAGCTCCCCTTTTCCCCTTCTCTTTCTCATCCTCTCCCCTCCACCGACCATCTCTCCCTCCCAGTAAGTCGGAGTGTGCTAGTGAGGGTGAAATGATATTCGGGAAATGCCATGCGACGCGAATGGACGGTGGATTTGGCAGGGGGTACAGTACAGATCTTCATCGCGATGGACGGTGAAGAGCTCGTATCCATGATGACAAAGGCTGTCGATCGCCACGTGCCTTCGTTTGTCGGATGCGCCATTCCTAGTAGAGAACTAGGGCTGGTTTCTGACAGTCTGCTATAGCGCTGACTGAGTCCGTTTCGGTTTGGCTCGTGTACTTACAGTACACAGCAGCATTTTGCAAGAAAAAGTCGATCGAGGAAAACTTTTGGTTGGTGTTTGTGCACTAGAGCGCCAGGTGGAATTTGCACCAGACCGACGAATGGGAACCAACGAAGAGGTGGGTCACAGGTGGATCAATCTCTATCTTAGAGCGGTTGAGTACGATGTTGTGCACTTTAGAGCGGCGTTCATACTTCGCCGCTTCGAATCGCTACCCACCAGCCCGAATATTGGTACCTGCCCTAATCCCTGGGTTCCTGGATTTAGTAGAACTCGTGAATCGTGATGCCTGGAACCGAAGGCGTCAGGTGGTTTGATTTGAAACGGCACCAATCTTGGTGTTTTGTGCTGTAAAGAACTTTATCGCGTGGTTGTGGTGGGTTGGGTGGTAAAAGTCGGTACAAGGGCCTCAAAAGTCGGTGCACCCCATCGCACTGGCGCGCATCAGCGCGCCCCACCTCGCGCAAGCCGAGTCTCGGGGCAAGGCGAAAGCTCTCACGCAAATTCCATCGCGGATGTTGGTCGACAACCAAGTGCGATTAGGGCGTATTTCGGGTTTGGGGCATGAGCACTGTTCAGGCACTGTACAGGGCATCCGCAACAACCGCATGACCCAAACCCAAGCACCAAAGCGCGCGCGACTCGAACTTCGGGTCATGCTCAACATTGCATGCGACCGTCAAACAAAAGGTGGAGCGCACCAATCACAGAGCTGCGCGACCCCATGTAGAGCAACCTCTGTAAATCGGCCGTTCGGCGCGATGTGCACGCCCGTCAATGTGGCGTGTACACCACACCCTTGTAAAACAACTTAATCCTCGTAACAATCACAACATCCAGAAGCCAGACCAGCACACTACATGCAAAGACACACAAACCGCCCTGCTAACAAGCACAGCCACCACCACGCCCGTGTCGCCAGCTCCGCCAGCAAGGATGCAGGCAAGACACCGTACTGAACCATCTCTAAAGGGCCGCCAGGAAGCCAGTCGGCCAAAGCCGCTGTGGCCATAAAACATGCTTACCCCACAGGTACTCATTCTATGTGTAGCATTGCACCTCTGGCATGAGTACGTGCTCAACACCTGGCAGCGTGTAGTATCCCTCGCCGCACTAGAGTGGATAACCACTATCCTACCGATGGCCCAAGCCGAGGATGAGGAGCGCCAGCGACGTGCGACTGCGCGCCGCGAAAGCCGCCAGCGCCGTCGAGAGGCACGTGTGGCGGAGTGGGTGGAGGAAATTCGCGCTATGTTTGACGAGGAGTTCGAGGACACCTTCCGGATCACGCGGGAGGTGCTCGACCTCATCGCGGAGAAGATGGCGCACCCCATGTCCCGTTTCGTCGAGTACAACAACGTCCCGTTATCTCTCTGTTGCCTGATTCCCATCAAGTACTTTGCAAGTGCCATGACATATCACGACATGAGTTTCATGTTCGGTTTGCCCAAGGGTCTCATTCATCGCATTGTGGACTGCTTTTTGGTGTGGTTCCCCCGCAAGTTCAAGCGTGACTGGGTTCAATTCCCTTCTGAAGAGTTGCGTGAGGAGATGGCGCTGGACTTCCGCGCCATCAAGGGCGTGCCGAACGTCATTGGAGCAATCGACGGCACACAAATCGAGATACGCGGTCTGGATGCTCACCGCAGCGACTACTACAACCGCAAATCTGTATACAGTGTACAGCTACAGGTCACTTGTGACTCGAAAGGGATCATCTGGGACTACACAGTGGGCAACCCCGGGTCTATGCATGATCAAGGTGTTTTCTCTACCTCTGAGCTACATGGCAGGCTAGAGAGCGGCGAAATCGCCCCCTATCAGCTGGTTGGGGACGCGGCATATCCTCTGAAAAGCTACATGCTAACCCCCCTCCATGCTCCCCGCCGCCGCCTAATGAAGAAGTGGGAGAACACCTTCAACTACGTCCAATCGGCGACGCGGATGGTGGTTGAGCGCACGATCGGAGCACTCAAGGGTCGATGGAGGCTCTTCTCACGCCGGCACGAGAGCAAGCTCTGGCGCGTGTGTGGCGGGACCGCCTGCATCATCATCCTGCACAACATGCTGCAGGTGGTCAGCACCCCAAGGATGAGGACGTTCAATCCCCGCCGCTTCATTTGGGCGGGGCTACCAAATGGCTGGTGGACAAGAAGCGGCATGGATCGCTACCAATGGGAGAGCCTGGACAACCCGACTCTTACCGAGCTGCGCGTCAGGCGCCGCCACTTCGGCAAGCATATCCACAGGGCTTACCTTAGGCGTCGTCGAATGCCCAAGAGGCAGCGCTAAGGCGCTGGCTGCTCGCCCGCCTCATCTGACCCGGCCATGGTTGCGTCTCCTTCCTCCGCTGTCGGCGGCGGAGGTGGGGTGGTGGCTGGCGCATCTTGAGGAGCTTGCTGGGCGACCATCTGCAGGCGCAAGCCTGCCTGCAGCGCCGCCATGTTCATCGCGGCGACAAGGACCTGCGTTGAATCCTGGAGCTGGCGCACCACGTTCACGTTGGTGGAGTTGATCGTGTCGGTCACCAACCTAGCTGCCGCCATTGTCGCAGTATCCTGTACCCGCCGTCGTTTCGGTGGAGGGGTGATTGCCGTTTCTGTAGGGGTGGGAGTAGGGTGTGTCGGTCATAAGGCGGCCTTTCATGTCGTTGTTTGCCTGTACCTCCCTTGTCTGTCAATGTTTTGGAACATTGGAAACTTGACGTTTAAATGAGTGTGTTGTATAAGAGACACACTAAACCGCTCGAGTATTAGCACATTTGTCGCATTGGTAAGATATAACCTAAACAGTAGGCGCATACATGAAATCAGAGCACTGACCGATGTCTGGTGTTTGGCGGCATGTTCCACGCTGTTGCGCCTGGGCCGGCGGAACCAAAGTCTCCCGGTCGTTGGAGCCGGGGACAGTTGCGTACGCCGCGACGTCAACGCTGGCGGCGCCACCGCCGTCCAAGGCGTGGGGCTTAGCTTTGGCCGAGTGTTTTTTCAAGTTGTACACGTACTCCCACCAGGGCTTCTTCTTCACGGCTTTGCCTCCGCTTGCCGATTCTCCCCGCTTCGTTTTGAAGTAAAGCTTCTCGAGGCGTTTCCACGCATTAGACATCTGCCCCTCGTCGCGGTTCCACCCCGGTTCCCCCTCGACGATGTGGGCGTGCAGCTTCCTCCAATACTGGCTGCCCTGCTTGCCCTGCATCGCTTTGAGATCGTCCTTCGTAGTCCACTTGGCGGCGGCGAGGGTCGTCAGCTCCGCATCTGACCACTTCCTCTTGTTGCTTGACGGTTTAGGTCGTTTCTCCTTCTTCGACGCTCGTGTGCTGCGATCGTCGCGACTCCCTTCGCCGTCGGACTCTCCCTCCTCGTCGTCCGTTGTGTCCTTGTCGTTACCGGAGTCGTCATCGCTTTCCGATTCCGAGACGATCTCCTCGAGGTCGTCATCGCTGACGTCGGTATCGGCGCCATCCTCGTAAGCAAGCCGTGACGCGCCGCTGGTGGATGCGGCCGCAGAGTCCCGTTTGGTCTTGGATATGCGTTTGATGGAGGGGGGCGACTTCCCCTGTTTCTTCTGCTCCTTTAACCACACGACGTAAGGAGGGTCCGCCATAGGCTCATCGTCGGATGCTGTCTCCTTTCCCTTGCTACGGGTGCTACGGCGTGGCGGCATGGCTGCACGTTCTGTGCTTGACAGATCTGGGTGATGAGGCTGTTGGTGTTCGTCGGTTGAAACTGTGTCATGCAGATCTGGAAGTTTGTTGCGCTTGTGTTTTTGTGGGATGCAACAACCCTGGTGTGGGAAGGACGCTGTTGGGATGGTGGGTTTGGCTGGGAATGTGGAGCCGCGCAGATCTGAATGTGACCTTTCCCGCCGGGAATTTTGACGGTGGCTGGGG